CCGTCTGGAGGGTCTCCCACAGCACTGCGTACAAGCGGGGTCGTCAGAGGGAGCCAGGGCCCTGTGGTAGCCTGTCGAGGGGGAGCCCCGTCCCAGATGGGAGCCTGCGGCTGCTCGCCCATCCGGGCACCCACCTCGGGCTGGGAAGGGCCACCGTGGCCCCGGCACCAGCCGGGCCCAGGGCAGGCAGGAGGACGGAGGTGGATGCCCGTCTGTGAGCTCCCCTGTTGCAGGTGTCGGCCTTTCCCTGTCTTTGCTCTCACCAGCCTCCCGTGGCTGCTGGGTTTGCCTTACCTCGCTGCTTGCTGAGGCTCCTGAGCGGTGGCAGTGCCAGTAACTGTAAGAAGCTGAGGCCTCGTGGGAAATGCTGGAAGTGAGGCATCCTCCATATGTTCAGGTTTTTTCCCTTTTCTCCCACCACTCCCAGGACTTTTCTGTTTCTCTTACATAGCACCTGATCTCGGTTAAACTAGGACTGGCCCTGAATTCCACTTTGTGTCCATACAAACTATACGTACTTGGCTTTGGTAATCAGAAGTTCAGAGTATTGTTCTTTGGATGGTAGCTATGTTATTTTGCTTTGTATTTTGTGAGGAGCATCTCTTCTTGAATGGTAAAACTGCTTAGGATGTTAAACCTATTTCTCAAAAGACAGTGAGGTGTGTGTACATTAAGTCACACAAATAGTTGATATTGGGAAATTTTCTTAAGATTTTTCACTTCTTGCACCAGCTGAATGGTAAACTTTTGCCACCTTTCAGGTGCTAGCACTGTTTTCTGATTGTAGTGGCAGCATTACTTCTCAGGGAAGGTCACACGTGCCTAGTACCTTTGCTGAATGTACTGGATATATTTCCTATATAAAATTTTATTACAAGCTTGAGATGCAGACATGACAGTGAATGATATGTTAATCTGTAAGGTAGACACTTTAGATGACTAGATGTCAAGTGGATATTAGCAGTGCCACTAAGTCGAGAAGAATGAAGTTCCAAAATTTTTTACTTTCAAGGCTATCTAGGAAACAATTGAGTGTTGCAGTGCTGTCTAAATATTTGTATTTAAAACTTTGGACTCAGGCAGTATTGAGGGATAAAATGCAGTAGAAAACAGACATTAGTTCATGGGTTAAGAGGCAGAGGAAGGAAAACTGTTTTGTGTTGTGGAAAGAGGGAAACTTACAAGTGATGTCCAGCAGCTTTAAAGTAAGAATTTAAAGCCCTCCGTGTTGGTGTGTGGGTGTGGGTTTGTGTGGGTGGGTTGGTTTTTTTTTTGATACTGGAAGAAAGAATATATTAAGGACACTTAATTATCCATTTCAAAACATGACAATATTGTATTTATAAATATCTGATGTTTGGGTAGATGAAGTCTCAAAGCACACTTAGAGATGTTCACTGTAAGGGCAGAGATAGTGCCTTTTTCATAGATACCTTGTATTCAACATTACAATTAGTCATTGGAGTAAAAAAATAATTTGCCAACAAATCAAGGAATATTTGCCAACTAAAAATCTTCTGATTGACATATCACAGTGTCTTCCAGGGTCTACAAGAATTAGACAAGCAGAATCTTATCCCCAATGTAGAAACTTGTTTCCAAAGAAGGAAAAAATCTAGCATTTTAGAGTTCATCTGAAGACCTGTGAGCATATGAGAAACTCAGATGAAAACCAGAGTACAAGAAGTCAGTTGCTCATTTTACTGTGACCTGTGGTACCTTCCTAATTGTAAGGCAGAGCCATATAGCTCGCCCCTACCTTTTCTTTTTTGTGCAAAACATTTGAGCTCAGTTGCACTAAACACGGCTTGTCCAGTATATTTGTCCACAGAGACAATTTGGTGAGGTGATTAGTTCGTACGTGTAAAAGCCCCCCACGTTTAATAAACTCTGTACAATATCCTGCACTTACCCTACCCCTACATTCAGTTGTACCGCCATCGGTGCCTTGTTGCCTCATGTTTGACGTTGTTCCAAACATCTGTGCTGAGTGGATGAGTTCACATTACCTTGAAAAGTCTCCTGGGAGAAGTCAAGCTGCAATAACTTCTCTACCTCCAAGGGATTTTCTTTGATTATTTGGGGCTTATCCAAAAATCCCTACTGATTCCCAAGGAGTAGGGTTTAGGAGTGTTGTGGAAGGGGGGATTATCTTGTGCAAGCTAATACTATGGATAGTCATAGACGTTAACTGACTAATTCACGTAAGATTTGTTTGGTTTAGCTATACTCCATGTGCTTTGCAACAGAGATGAAAGTAACTGGCCAAAATACTGAAGTGGTGATAAGAGCAGCCTTTATAGTACTGATTTGCTGTATTTATCACCAGTTGACCTCCCTCCCCACGCCCCCCCCCCCCCAGCCATGTGGGAAGGAACTGAGCCCTAGAGTGAAGTACAACATTGCTGCCTGTTTGATTTGTAGTAAGTATTAAAAGGATTCTTCCCATTTGGTTAGTTAAAAAAGCTGAAGAGAAGCAATGCTATTAAAATTAGTTGCTTCCCTGGTGAAGATAATCCTGTGTGTTAGCCTCTGGCATGTGAATTGTAACTGTGATTCAGTTGTGATTTCTGTAGCTAGAAAATAAGCAGTATATTCTAAGTGCCATTATTCACTGTTGGGAAAACAGAACACATCGTTATGTGAGGCAATTTATTACAGAAATTTTAAACAAGGCATTAAAAAAAGGAATTTGTTAGAAAATTCTGTAAACAATCATGTTAAAACCCAATTGCATGTTGTTAATCTTGTGATATTAGTGACTTCTCACTGTTGATGATAGGTGACAAAGTAAATAGACTGTTTTCATCGTCTGGCATTTGGGAGTTTGCATTCAAGCCTCTTTGCTTTAATCTGCTTAGAATGATTTATAAAAAAAATTATTGCTGTCTTATTTAATAGCTAGATCTGTGTTGGACCAGATTAATTACTTTACAGTGTCATAGAAGTATGTGTAAAGGTGGTTGATTAGGTTCTTGCTGAAATCTTTGGGAGATGTTTGAGTTAGGTGCTGTGAAGTGCTGATGAACCAATCTTTTTCAGTTCATTTCAATCTTATGTTGTCAGTATATAAAGTTTACAAAATTACTGCTTCATTGAAAGCTGAAGGCAAAAGTATCACAGGTGAACTTAAAGTTAATTCTAAAATAAGTATAAACTCGTGGTGGGAAAATGCATAGCATTCTGTCCTGTAGAGGTCCTTCTGTACCCTTTTTGTCCTCATCTGAGCGCAGATCCAAAAAAGGAGTTGTCTCTGCAGCAATGAACTTCAGTTCTTGCCCTGACTGAAATTCAGAACTGTGTTTTTAGGTAGGTAGGCTGCTTGTGAAGTTCATGGAGATAAGTAACACTTCAGAAGAGGAGCAGTGAGCAGCCTGCAAACAGAGCACTTCATGTACAGCTAGTCATTGAGGATACTCCAGAGTCAGGGATGGATCTGGCATGTTTTAGCCAGTGGTGGTTTTATGTAAAACATAAAAACAGCTGTGAACATGAGTGTTGGCCTGCATCTGAAGTGAGTGTGCTAGCTGCTTTGCTGCTGGACCCAGGGATCCTGCATTACTTGCTACTGTCATGTGTGGTTTCAGGATTCAAAGGTAACGCTAGCCAGAGGATCATAGAAAGCCTGTTAAATATGGCTGGTGTTTCTCTTCTGATTCTGTACAGAGCTTCATTCATTTCATCATCTTTGGGGTATCACAGATTTTCAGCTATATGCTACAGATATAATTTTTTTTTCAGCTTGCAGATGTGCATCTAACATGCAGTATGTTATCACAAGGTGTTGTCTTGCACTGGCTTTGAAGATATTTAGACATTCCTTTAAGTATTACGTGGGATATACTGTTAAATGTGTTCTACTTCATCTGTAGCAATGTAGATATTACCAGCTGTGGTTGTGGCACAGATGTATGCAGCCAGCCTTCCAAACTGGGTTTTTTCTCCTGTGCCTAGCAATAACAGATTTATCTGACAGTGCTTCCAGCCTTTTAATGTCCTGCATCTTCAACTCCTTTGTGATGTGCAGCTGTTTACATTTTCAGTAAATCTCTTCAGCATCTCCTTATGAATAATTTGTTTTTACAGATGCATTTAAAACTATCCTTTTATTAGGGAAAGGTCTCCTCTGCCTACTGGAGTTGGGAGGTTTTGGGGTTGTAAGGTTTTCCAAATCATGTGTCAGTTTCCTTTTCCTGAAAATTTTGCAGTTGATTTCTTACCTTGGTTTATTTTTCTTCCATTTAATTTGTTTTCTATTTCTACTTTCCCAGACAGTACTTAGTTGGCAAAACTAAGTTTGGGTTGGTGTAGAATAAACTGCTTTCTCTCTCTGCTGGCTCTTGCCTTCCTGTTGTAGTTATTTTGAGTTAAAGTACTTGTTAGCATCCCTACCTAAGTATGAAGTAAAATGAAATATGGTGAGCTAATGCATTAGAGTGCTGTTGCCAGAAGGGAGATGTTCTGTTTCTTCTACAAAACCCTTCCTACATCTCCCTTCTTTGAACTCCCCCTACTTACTTTTTCTCTGGAATTCAATAGGCTCCCATATGCATTGAGTCAACTTGCTGCTTGCAGAACATAAACCCAGCTGCATCTGGGAGTTAAATCAGCTCCTCAAAAGGTCCAAAGAGTTCGAGAAGGCTGCAACAGGATCATGTGGCAGAGAAAAGGAGGAAGCAAGACTTCAGGTGTCACTGAGCTGTTAGATTGGCTTGTATAATTTCACACTGAAGCTGTAGTTTGACAATAGATTTAACTGATCTAAGTTAGGGCTGCTCTACTCCCAGTTATGTCTTCCCCTCTGTCTGTTTTTTGCCATCACAGTTCTGTCCTTGTCTCTGCAATGGAATGACTCAGGGACCTGAGCTGGAAAGAAGTGCCTTTTTGTCAAGGTTAGTTTTCAGCTGGTTTCAGTTACCTTACCAGGAGTGTGGGTAGCCACAGGAACCCCACTGGAAGCAAGGGGGTCAGGAAGGCTTGGCTGAAGGTAGGGGAGGCATCACTTAATCAGTTCACACTGCCTTAGAAATGCATCCTTACAATAAGCGGTAGCACAGTGGAGTGCGATGTGGGCTGAGGATTTGCTTTCTTGATATTATTGTGCTTAGGTACGATACTTAATTTCCTGCAAAACTTTTCAGTACGTCCTTTATAACTGGCTGTTCAGTATGAAGAAATGGATTATCAAATTTCTTTCCAGGTGAATAGAAGTTAAATGAAAATGTAGAAGCAGTTTCAGTTCCTGTTTCTTCTTCAGGTTGTATTAAGTAACAAACTAAAAGTTCAAAAAAGGGCAAGTCTGTGCCTGTACAGCCCTTTGGAAGCATCTTGCAAGATAAGCAATCTACTTGAGTGACATAATGGAGAGGAAAGAAGTAAACAAAATAGAACTTAAATTGTGCAAATGAGTGAAGAGGAAAGGAAGCAGGCTTGTACAGCAGGAGAGCTTTGACTTTCATCTTCTAGTCAGAGAGCACTGACAGAGCAGAGTCGTAGTTGGGGAATGACAGTGACTAGCACCTGTGTTTTCAGGGTTGAAATGAAAATGCCTGATACAGTGGGACAAATGGATGAGAAAATTGCATATGAACTCTTATTGTATTCCCTTTTTTGTAAGTAGATTTTATTTGTGTATGCTTACTTCTGCTCTTGCTAAAAACAACTCTTACCCCAGCTTAACTATCTGTGTGGTTTTTAGCTTCTTTGACTGGACTGCCCATGCGTAGGGAATTTGGACATAAGTTTGCTGGAAAATTCAATGTTAGTTATTTCCATATAGATAGATGTTGCTACTTGTAGATAAACAAGTGCTGAGTATCTGTGTGGTCCACGTTCAAAGCTGTCCCTACAGAGGGGAGGAACATCCTGCAATCCTGCAGGGTGATCTGGTAGTGTATTAAAAACCAAAAGCTTATAGAACTGTTTCTAAAATTAAGTCTAATCCTACTTCTGTACACACATCTATATTCAAGCACTTTCAGTGCTTTAGAAGTTGCAAATGCAACTTTTCTCTGATGCGGATGCTTTTGTGAAGAATTTTACAATTGAGTATGTATTTTTCACGAGATTATTTTTTTTACAATATGAAGTTAATTTTTTACAATATGAAGCATTTTTACCACTGTCAGCTAATAGTAATAGTATGTGTGTACACACGTGTAGCTATATATGCATAGACATATATGTATGTGCATGCACATTTCTATATCATTACACATATATAATGTGTATGTATATATATGTATGTATATTAATTGGGATAAATGATATATTTTACTGTGCTAATTCTTAACTTGGTCTTCCAGTTTTGAGTTTGCTTTATTTTACAAATTAAGGTCTTGATTGTTTTGGCAGAGTTCAAATGAGTGTTAACTTAAATGTGGTTTTGATTTATTAATTTATATATTTGGCTTAGCTGTTCATAGAGTGAGGAAGAATAAACTAGTGTGGTAATTACTTAGCGTATATAAAATATTTTTTCATTGAATAAATTAGTACACTGCAAATAATTAATTGTGATATTTTATTGACTACATTACATCATGGATAGTATGTTTCTCATAATTTGTGATTGACAGCAGACCAATAAAAATCTTAGTATTTTTGAGAAATGGACAATGTGGGCTGTGTAGGAGCATGATCAGTCACAGATCATGAAGTTTAGTAGAAAGGCATTGGTCAGCTATTACTTTTAAATATGGAAAATGTTTCAGTATTATTTAATAATTTCTAATGTCTTTAAGCTGAGTATGTAACTTTGTGAATGGATGGAATAGTAATGTGGGTGTATTTAATCAGATTTCATCTTAATGGTCTGTTAGTCAGAAATAATTTATTGAAAAGACACTGTGCATCTCCTGTGCTGCTGTTACTATTATTTGTGTGGGGTTTTTTCCAGTTAGAATCTCTTGCCACTTCTGTTAAATATACCCCTATTAAGTATGGGTTTGGAATGCCAGTGATATAAAGGTGGGAAATAACTTCTTGAAAAGTGTTTTAGCACTTAAATTATAACCCAGGTGAATTTTATCCTTCCAGTTACATTTCTGGGTGGGTGGGGAACCACAACAAAACCGATTTGAAGTGAGAGAGCAGAGTTTGAGGTAAACTGCTGGGGGTGTT